TATGGTACGACCTTCTGACAGACGAAACGGCGTCGTGCAATTTGATTTATACTCCCGACTTGTTTCCTGTATTGGTGTCATCAGTTCAAATGGAACCCTGCGATTATTGTCGCGCAAGTTAGAGCAGTTCTCGAGGGCATCATTTTTGGCACTGCCTTTAAATACAGGAGTAACGCAATTATTTTGTGGTGTCCTAGGAACATCCGATTTTTTACGTCTTGGTGTTTGATCATTCGACTTATCACTATTCTCATCCTCTTTGTAATCATCACTGTGTTCACAGTTCAGCGGCTGATTGAACAACTCCATTATATCTGCAAAGGCGGCTTTTGTGTTGATAGTTGGAGAAGGTCGCTTGAAAAGTTTCTTGGGGTGCAACACTATAATTCATGCGAATATTAGGAACAAGATTCACCAGAATCGAAACCACATAGCCACTCACATGTAGGACTCATCCTGGGAATTGTTTGTTCATGACATTCACTATTCGTTTTGTTGGATAACTGGGTAATACCCTTGCTTTGCGGTGCTTGCGATTCTGCGGCTCGATCGTTGGTAGACTCGACCTTGGTTTTGACTTCATATTCACGAATTTTTGCTCTGAGCTCTTCAAATGAATACTCATTCCCATTTGCATAGATTATATTCAAATCTACAAATATCTTTTCACTTCGGCTTCCTTTATTCCACGGCATTTTTGAAAAAATATCAAGCTCTAACAATTGTCCAACTTTCCCAAGGTTTAAAGAAGCAGAGGAGATATACTTAATGGGCATAGGTCGGAAAGCACAGCCTTTTGAACGTTTGACCCGTCGTTACAGACAATTCCTAACGCGACTGAGTTCGCACCAAGATTCCGAACTAATTCACCAACAGGTCAACGAGAATCCACAGCGAACTGTACTTGGCGTGAGATCCTCCTCGACATCATCATATTCCGCGCCGATGAACATATTTCACCAGAGGAATCCTCCTCAAAATCCTAATGGCTTGGCACCGCCATCTATTCCGACATCAAATCAGCGATCAGGAGCTGATGTGAATTCGGAAAAATTAGTAATATTTTGTGACCCAGACGGCGAGATTGGCAATGCCGCTCTAGCATCTGAAAGAATTGAGGCTTGGGGAGATTTTGGGACGGAGTTGGGCAACAAAAAGGAGAATGTAAAAGAAGCGGAGCCATGGAAGGGGGTCACCTTGATTCAAAACAGGAAATTTCGCGCACCGATGACCGAGAAAATAGAAGTCTATCATGATCAAGTATAATGATTCGCACGTGCATGAATATTTATTAACTGGAATGCATGAGTAATTAACCATCCACGTTACAATTGTCTAGCCTGCGGAACAGAAAGTTCCTTCTTCGGTTGTTACGACCTCAACATCTACAAAACCTTTTCCGATAACCGAAAGAACGGATGTTTCCTCGACTGCCACGATTTTTCCATCTAATTCGAACGAAAAAACCTGCCCGCAATCGGAAAACACGGTGCCTTCAAAAAGTGCAACAAAAGAAACACCCTCACCAGTTGCCACAACACGAAATAAAGGAAGCCGAAGTGAAAAGATATTTGTAGATTTGAATATAATCTATGCAAATGGGAATGAGTATT